ACCTCACCCCGCCCCGCCACCCCCCAAGGGCTGTACGAGGAGTTTGCCAGGGAGCAGCTCGCACTCCCGGTCATCGCCGGCCGCCGCCCGCGCAGCGGCGCGCTCGCCGGCGCCGCTGCGTCCTTCACGGTGGAGGCCCTCCTGCCCGGCGGCCACGCGCTGCAGGTGGGGCCCCTCCGCGCCCGCGCTTTGCCGCGGCGCGCCCATCCGCGTATGGGGGACGCTCGAGAGGAGCAGTGCCCGCATGCGGCACCTGAACGCGCCCTTGCTCCGGCGCAGCATGCGATATGGGCACGCCTGGGCATTTCCCCGCCTGCTGCGCCCTCCTTCAGCCCAACCTGTTCCCGCACCCTCTCACCTGGGGCCCACCTGGCTCACCTTCCAAAGGCCCCCTAAACCTCAACCTGGACCCCAAACCAAGCCCCTGACTCTCAAACACTCCCAACCCCCTGCAATCCCCCAAAGGTCGCGTCCAGTCACTTTCTGGCAGACAACTACTCCAGGGCCCTGGGCGCGGCCCTCGTCAGCTGGGACGGCAGCCGCGACTGGATCAACCAAATGGCCTGCGGCCTGCCCAGCGGCGCGCTGCAGGGCGTCGCGCTCGCCCACGGCGACGCCGCGGGCATACGGCTGCCGCCGGCGCTCGCGCCCGTGCAGGTGGGGCGCGGGCGGCTGCCTGGCTCGGGCCGCGGCCGCGGGCGGCGGTAGGGGGTCCCTGAAGGCTGGCAGCTAGGCTGTGGGTGGCAGTGAGCGGGGCTCGTGCGGTTGCGGGTCGTGTTGTGAACAAAGCATTGCATCGACCCGCTGCCGCAAGCATACCGCGCACTCACGTGGATCAGAGACGCCGGCATCGCCGTCCTTGCATCAACATAATCCACCAACCCTGATTCCTGGGTTGCACCCCCACACCCTCAACCATGAATCCAAACCCAAAGGTCGTGATCGTGCCGGTCCCCAAGGGCGGCGGCGGCGGTGCCGGCGGCCGCGCCGCACTCGCGGCGGAGGCGGAGCGGCTGCGCGGCGAGCTGCAGGCGGCTGGCGTGCGCGCGGAGGTCGACGGCCGCAGCTGCGTGCCGGGCGCCAAGTTCGGGTCGTCGGAGCGCCGCGGCGTCCCGCTGCGCATCGAGGTGCGCGCTCGCGCCCCCGCTCGCCCCCATGTGTGCGCGCTCCGAGCGTGCCGAGTTGTCCAAGTGGGCCCTCTCTGCAAGCCATCCGGACATGCATCTACAGTCATGCTTTCAGGCCCTCCAACAATGCTCCCTGGACACATTACTCACTTGGCTTTTTGATTGTTGTGTTGCGGCACTCTTGACCCCTCCGACCCCACTTCAAACACGCACGCGCAGTTTGATACGGAGAGCGTCGCCTCCCGCACCTGCGTCATCTCGAAGCGCGACGAGCCCGGCCCCGCCGCCAAGCTGCGCGACGTGAGCACCGAGCCCGGCGCGCTGGCGGCCGCCGTCATCGACCTGCTGGATGACGCCCAGCTGGCGCTGAGGTGGCGGTCCGCCGCGGCGCTGCAGTCCGAGGTGGTGGACGTGTCTTCGTACTGGGAGCTGAGGGTGAGTTCCGGCGGCTCCATGGGCGCCCGATTGCTTGTCGATGGTGCTGCGCTTTTGAGAAGAATGATCCGGACTGCAAAGGGCACGCAACTTTGGGCAGACGGGTTGCTGCAAGGTTGTTTTAGTGTTGCTGTGGCCGCCCCGATGCGAGTGCTGCGACGCGCGGCCTGCCGGTCCTGCCGCTGTCCAGACTGCTGCGCAGCAACCCCCTTATCCAGGAGTGCGTCACCAGATCGGGTCACACCTGAGCCCTGCCAGAGTCACTCACCCTCCCAACCCAGAGTCAGCATCGTGGTCAAACTCAAAGCCGCCCTGCAGCGCAACACCTCAGGCCTCCACCTCGCCCCGCCCCTCCCCTGATCAACAGGACGCGATCGAGGCCGGCAAGTGGGCGCGCGGCCCCTGGGCCGGCGGCGCCGACGACGAGGCCGCCGTGCTGCGGGAGGCAGGCGCCGCGCTGGTGTGCATCCCCCTGGAGCAGCCCTCCAGCCTGCAGCGCGGCTGGACGACCTGCCTCTACACGGGCTACCAGGCGACTGAGGTCGCCGTCTTCGCGCGCGCCGCGCCGTGAGGTAGAGGGCAGGCGGCGGCGGCGGGCGGAGGGCTGTTCGGGCCCACATGGAGCGCGGTGTGCTCGTGCGGCGCTTTCTGAGGCCTGTCGAGTGCGGGAGAGGCGGGTGCCGTGCCGCGTAGGTCTGACAGGCACACCGTACGCCCGGGAAGGCCCTTGAGACGGCGTGGGCTCCCACTCATTCGCTACGCACCGCTGGGCAGCTTTCCGAGCCTAACCTGCATGGGGCACCACGCCCGCACAGGGTGCTACCAGTCTGCTGGAGCTGTCCGCATGCAATGACGGCGCCGCCCCCCACGCCGCACACGCCCCGTGCGGAGCGCCGCTGGGCGCGGGTGTTTTTCTGGGGGATGGGAGAAGAAAACGAATGGCATGGGTGTGGGGTGGTCCTGCAGCCGCTGGGCTGGTGGCAGCGCCAACATGGGGTTGTCGTGGGTTGGCACGCGAGTGCCGCCGCGACATGTGAGGGGCACGATGCCCAAACGCAATGAGAGTGCGGCGCGCTCCGGCCCAGAGAAGGGTGAGGCGTCTAGCCTGGGGCACAAGAGGCTGGGGCTCGTTCTCCAGGGCGCACTTTTGGCGGTTGCCGCGCTTGCTTTCTAGGTCCATCAGGGCATGTGCAACCAACCACTGATCATCCACTGTTGTGGATTTTGGGCGAACAGTAGGCTGCTCCACGCACGGATCTGTCTGCTGTGCCGCTTTGCCGGTGGCCCCCACACAACCTGGCACGCGCGGCGGTTTCCTCATCTGTCCATCGTGTAGATGAGTGGCGAGGCATGGCTTCTCTGATGGTGGAGTTCTTGTGGATTTGGTCCTGGTGGTTGGACTATTGCTGTGACGAACAGCAGGATTTTGGGCCGCGCCCTTGGCCGCTTGCTGTACGTCGGCTGGACAGTATGCATGGAGTTGTATGCAAAATATAGTTGTGAGATTTTTGTGCCTGTCATCGCTCATGGACGTCTGCACCCCACCCTGTGCCCTTCTGCACGTGTATGATACACAGAGTGTACAGTACCGCCACCATCGTCACTGTCACACTGCACTGTCACCACTGCACTGTAAACGACGCTGAACACGGCCATTCACGGGTGGGCCAAGCACTCCCAGAGACAAGCCCGCCGCTCGTAGTATGAACAGAGATAAGGGTGATAAAGAAAAAATCTTGGGGCAGTGGCAACCCCTAACACTGCGATGAGGGTCTTCAAATGTGGCAGGCATCCGCCGCCTGGGGTTGACCATTGGTGCAACCCCCCCCCCCCCACACACACACACACTTGAGCAAGTCAAAGTTTCTGTCTGAGTTGTTGTTCTTGTCGCATACGGCTGTATGAGTGCCACATTACGAGAACCTTGTGTCCGACAAAACTCTCATATTTGCCTGTACTAGTCCAGCTTGAGAAAGCGGCTCCTCACGCCCTGGCTGACCACCTGTGCTTTGTCAGATCTAATAGCGTGACCAAAGCGTGACTAGGACAGCACACTGTAGTCACCGACTGCTCAGCACTGCCTCGAGGCAGCACGAGCAATTTGCGACAGCCCATTGTCACGTACTTGGTGACCACGGCATATGGGGTGGCGATATTCCTGTCCCCAGATCAACAGCTAGTAGCGACAGATCGCGCAGCATGGCGGTGTTCTTCGTTGCCACCACGCTGCTGACATTGGTAGCGATGGCCCTTCTTACCGGCATCGAGCTGGGTGCGTGCAGTGCGCCTAGGCTGTGCCAGCGCGGTGCCGCACCGCACGAACCCGCCACCCAACCTGCAAATCCCCATTGGCCTCGGCGCTGTCTCCCAGCGACCATGGCGCACTACTCTTGCTGATGGTGGCCCGCGCCCGCCGCCTGCTCCCCCGTCCGCAGGCCTCGTGCCTGTCCCGCTGCCGTGCCCGCCGGCGCTCAAGGGGGACGCGATGATGCTGCCACCGCCGGGGCTGCTGCCCATCACGTATGATCACGGCTTCGCGCCCAACAGCACAGACCTCAAGGCCGCCAAGCTCCTGTTTTCAGGCGACGAAAGCGGCAAGGGCGCCATCGTGGGCGTCGAGACGGTGGCTGTCGCCCCGAACGGGTCCCTCGGGTTGGTCGATCGCCTCGGGCAGGTGCGGGTGATCTGAGATCTGGGGTTCCTCGGGCGCCGCCAACGCAAGGGCTTGCGCAAGCCGCGGGAGGAGCTCATGCGATACAGGGGCCGGTGGCGCGCCCCGCATGCTGTGGCCGGAGGACATCAACACAAGAGGTCTTCAGTGAACTCAAAACTTCACATTCGCATGCACGTGCAGTTCGACTGCTGATGCAAGTTCAAAGAACGCAGCGCTCCCACGGCCGCCGCCGCCGACCGCCTCTGCCCCTACCTCTCCGTACTTGCCTTGGAACAATTTTCGTCGCCACAGCCTCTAGCATTACGTCAGCCCAATGACTCGTCTCACCGTCACTTCCCCGCCTTTCACTCTCGCAACAATCAAATCCCAGGTCTTCCTGGCAGACCCCGACGGCGCCGGCGGATTCACCACACCGAAATATCTCACGAAAATCTCCCCCGGCCGCAGCCTCGGCGCGCGGTTCGACGTCGCCGGTAACCTGCTCGTCTGCAACGGCCCCCTGGGGCTGGTCATGCTAACAGACGGCGCCGCGGAGACCGATGGCGCGCCGCGGCAAGTGCTGCTTACGGCGCGCGTGTCGGCGGCGTCGCCGCTGGCGGCCGGGCGGCCGGTGGAGTTTGCCAACTCCCTCGACATTGCGAGGGACGGCAGCGTGTACTTTTCGCACTCCACAGACCTCGCACCGTTCAGGTGGGGAGTGCGTGCGGGTGTGTGTTTGTGTTTGTGTCTGTCCATATGTGTGTGTGAGTGTGTTTGTGTGTGTG